GTACACGCAGAGAGTGAGGGAGAGACAGACTCCCAAGCAGGCTCTCCATTTCAGGACCAACTCACGACTGGAGTCAATTATTAAGAATCAGATGCCTAGGGATGTCTGGATGGCTCAGCTAGTTTGGAGTCGGGTTCGGCTCAGGTCATGATCTTGTGGTTCGTGGGTTTGAGTCCTGCATTGGGCTCTTTGCTGTCACTCAGCGCAGAGGCCGCTTCAGATCCTCTTTCCCACTTTCTCTGCCCTTCCCCTACTCGTTCTCTCTCTCTCTCTGTCTCTCTAAATAGACTTAAAAAAATGTAAAGAATCAGATGTTTAGCTCACTGAGCTACCCAGGTGCCCCGAGATCACAATATTCTTAAACTCACTGAGCTCATTTCTTCATCTGTAAAATGAAGGTGTGCTCTACACCTTGTTTACTTGACAGGCTTGTTTTGAGGATTTGATGAAGTTGTTACGTTCATTTATTCATTTGGTAAGTAGTCACTGTGAGCTTATGAGCTATGCTGGATACTGAGAATATAATGCTCAACAAGAGAGAGATGCTTCACACCTTCCTGAAGCTTCCTATTAAGTGAGATAGCTAATGTATATATGAAGCATAAAGACCACTGCCTGGCACCTTAGTAGATGTCAATAAATATTAGTCTCCTAACTGCGATGGTTAATTTTATGTGTCACTTTGACCTGAGTATGGAGTACCCAGATATTTGGCTAAACATTATTCCTGCTATGTCTGTTAAGGTGTTTCCAGAGGAGATTAGCATTTGAATTAAACTGAGTAAAGCAGATGGCCCTTCCCACTGTGGGTGGCATCATCCAATCCCTTGGGGGCCTGAATAGAAGAAAAAGGCAAAAAGGAAGGGAGAATTCCCTCTCTTCCTGACTGCTAAGCCTGAACATTGGTTTTCTCCTGCCCTTGGACTAGGACTTACACCCCTGGTTCTCAGGCCTTTAGATTTGGACTAGAATTTATACCAATACTTTTCCTTGTTCTCAGGCTCTTAGCCTTAGACTGGGACAGTACCACTGGCCTTCCTGGGCCTCAAGTTTATAAATGGGGGATCACTGGGACTTCTCAGCCTCCATAATGGCGTGAATCAATTCCTTGTAAATAAATCTCTCACCATTGTGGGTCAGTTTTGGTAAGCAGAACCAGGCTACACATATACCTGGTCCCTTATTTAATAGGAACATATTGTGCATATTTATGGTGATCCTAGGCCACTGCTACTCATTCTGTAAATATAGCAGTCACTCTTCTGTTCTAGAATATAAAACTCCAGTGAGAGAGAACAAGTCATTCAAACGATCTTCCCCAGAGAGCAGGGAAATGCAATTTTACGCCCAGAGCAGAGAGGATTCAAAAGTTTACCAAAGTCCTAGGAACTTAAATTGTAGGCAGGAATAATATTGCTGTTCATCACTGTCTACTTATTTTCTATTTAAAGAGTTTTATCTTTCTAGTAGAGGGGGTTGGTTTAATAGAGTGTCAGGGGAAATGTCGAGTGAATGTATTGATTGAATGTATGATGATAAATGGGGGCAACTTATCTCCTAATCTTCCTCCAGGTTTGCCCAGCTAAGGGTGAATAAAATCATTTTTAATATAGCCAAGAAGGTCTTTTTTATCGCCTTGGGGTTGTGGTATCATACATGTGCCTGAATGACTTCTTTTCCAGAAAGAGTAAGAATTTGTAGATTGGCACCAGGTGGAAGATATTTTCATACATGTTTCTTTATGCCAGAATATCAAGGTCCACCATTAAGCTAGGAACAATTAAGTTAGGCTAGGATAATAGTTAAGGAAGGAAACAATGAAATACTCACACTGTTCACATATCAAATACGTCCACATTTTACAGAGAAGATGGTCATAATACCTCAAGGGGAAAGCAAGGATCTTCATCACCAAAGGCAAGGAAAGGTTTCTGCGGCACTCCATACACTGAATGCAAAATAGAAGCGACCTGAAGGGCCAGGAGGCATGAGACTTCAACAAAGCAAATAAATTTTATGTCAGATGGCATCCTCCCAGATGAAAGATTTCTGGAAAAAGTGGGACAGAAGACTGCATTCTTAAGTGTTGTGCACCACTCCCTTTGGCTTGCTTGAGGCAAATGCAATCCTGCAAAGGTTTTTACTCTGATGCTCTAACAAGAAGTATACTTCTGTCACACCCAGAGTGACTGATAATGCTCAGGCCAATCCATTACTCCATTCAAATAATAGGGTTTACTTGCTTTTAAGGTCACTTGCACTATAATGTTGTCATTGTCCTTCTTCTGCTCTGCAGTCTTATTTTCACAGAGGATTGGGAGAAAAAGAGACGGACACTGGGCAGCACTCATTCATGGGCATAAAGCCACTGTCACTCTTGCCCTGCGGTTTTAAATGTTCTTGCCCGTGACAGACATCCATGCAACAGAGGTGTCAGTGGGAAGGGAGGCTTGGGCTTTTCCATGGGGATCCAACGGCACCAACAACAGAAATTCACTCCTGGGGATTTTTGTCTTTGAGTTAAAAACCAGGGTGGAAATACTTCAAGAACATTATGTATCTCAAGAAAGCTGGTGGTGTTGAAATAAAAACATCATAGATTATATCAAGCAGAGTGGCAGGAGAAAGTTTTTAAACTCAGAATTTCACTAAATTTCTAATTTCAAATCCCATTAGTCAGCCACACTTCAAAAATGGCCATAAAAAAGTTCATTCAAATTTGAAAACAAAGAATCATTTCTTTCGAGAGGATGTAGTTTAATCTGTATTCTGTCCCGTCACTTTTATAGAAGGAAACACATGGCCTCAAACTTTGCTTTCTGGCTATGATAATTTCCTATTATAGGTTTGTCTTTAGTTAGTTTCCAAAAATCTCATATGCTTAAGGTTTTGGAGCCATGTAAATTTCTGTTCTGTAGCTTCATTTTCACAGATTGGTAGAAAAAGAGAGATGAATTGGGTAGCATGAAAAAAAGAAAGGCTTTTTACTAATCTGAAATAGTTTGGGAAATTCTAAATGGACTATTGCAGTTGCTGTTGTTTTTGTTGAGATAACAAAATGAGGAAGCTTAAAAGATTTTTAATTTGTTTTTTTTCAAATAATTTTGTTGTTGTTGTTGTTGTTGTTAAGTAAGTGCTATCACCAATGTGGGGCTCAAACACATGACCCGGAGATCAACAGTTTCACGCTCCACTGACTGAGCCAGCCTGGGTGCCCTGGGAATCGTCAGACAGTTAATACAGCACAGGACTCCTGGGTTCTAACACTATGTAGCTGTGTGACATTAGGCAAGGCACCATACCTCTCTTGACCTCTATTTACTTATTTTTGAAATGGATCTCTTTGACGACAGCATCTCTAGCGATATATAAAATGACACATTAAATTACATATAATTATACATAATTGAATAGGAGAGAGAGAGAGATGTATGATGTCTGTAAATATACATGTCTCCTGAAGCAAGTGTTCCTAGCAATCAATGTCGTCTCTGCAGCAATGTCCTGCTGGCCTGCTGGGTTGATCCTGCCTCCTTTTATTTTCTTAATTTTTAAAAAAATTTACTTATTTCTTTTGAGAGAGAGAACAAGGGCGGGGAAGAGGGAGAGGGAAAGAGAGAATCCCAAGCAAGCTCCACGCTGTCAGCCTATAGCCCATTGGGGAGCTTGAACTCACTAACGGTGAGATCATGACCTGAGCCAAAATCAAGAGTGGGATGCTTAACCGAGTCACCCACGCACCCCATGACCCTGCCTCCTTTTAAGAACAGGAATGCTTATGCTCACCCATTTGGAGTCTATCTCATTTTCTTGTAGGCCTGAAGAAAAGCACTGTGGTCTAATATATTAATTTTTGGACTTCTTTAACTGAGATATGCATGGTTTTGGCCGTGTTTTCACCAGTTTTTTATTTCATAACATTTCAAACCTCCAGGAAGGGTGCAGGAATATACAATGAAGAGCCATTTGCCCTGCACTTCTATTTACCAGTTATTAACATTTTGCCAAATTTGCTTCCTTTCCACTTCTCTTTCTCTTTCTCTATTCCCTTACTGCAGATAGAGGCACTGCCCAACCATTTGAGATTTTGAGAATTGCAAACATCCTGACACTTCACCTCTAAATACTTTTACATCTCCAAGACAAAGGTCATTCTCCCACATAGCCACAAGACAATTCCTTGAGAAATTTAACATTGATTCAATACTATTATCTAAAATATTCTTTGTATCCAAATTTCCTCAATTGTCCAAATAATGCCCTATGTAGGTAGATTTATTTATTTTTGAATTCTAGGATACAATCAATGATTATCTGTTGCATTCACTTCTCCTATCTCTTTACCCTCCCTTTTTCTGCAATTTCCCAACCTTTTTTGGTTTGTTTTCATTTTTGAAGTGTTCAGGCCAGTTCTTTGCAGAATGCTCTGCATCTTAGATTTGTCTCACTGTGTCAGGGCTAAACATTTTTGGAAGGCCTATGATGTACATATTGTTGTGTCCTCAGTGTCTTACATCATCAGAGGTATGTGATGTCAAAACTGGCGATGCGGTGTTTGATCATTTGCTTAAGGCAGCAGTTACCAAATGTCAGCGATGTAAAAAGCCCCTTTCCCCAAAAAGTCTTGTGAGAGTGACACTGAGACTTTATGAATATCCTCTTTCCCAAAGGTTTTGGCATCCATCACCAATGGTGGCTTTAAAATTACTGTGTTTTGACTGTCCTCTACCAAGGGGAATTGGGATAACCAATAGAACTCTGGGAGAATGGACGAAAGAATTGGTCAGTGTGGACTTGACCACAGATAAATCCTGGTACATGTGCTTGAGTTTGTGTGTGGTGAAGGTAGAGGGTACAAAAACTGTGATGTGCTGTTAGAATTGTAAGCATGATTGGGGTGCCTGGGTGGCTCAGTTGGTTAAGCGTCCACCTTTGGCTCAGGTCATAGTCTTGCAGTTGGTGAGTTCCAGCCCCGCATTGGGCTCTGGGCTGTCAGTGCAGAGCCTGCTTCGGATTCTCTGTCCTCCTCTCTCTGCCCCTCCCCCAAGTGGCTCTCTATCTTTCTCAAAATAAATAAACTTCAAAAAACTATTAAAAAAATTTTTAAGCAGTATTAAGTGAAGCCTACCTAAGGTTGGAGTACAAGAAACAGGGAATACAAGGAAAGTAAACTTTTATTAGGTGTTGAGTGGAACAAACACACTGTACTGTTTCTGCTTTGCAATTTGTCTGTAGTACGAAACGAGACCTAAAGCTTGAGAAGAATGGCACATACAGTACAACAATACATAAAATCTTTCTTTTTTTTTTTTTTTTAATGTTTGTTTATTTTGAGAGAGACAGTGGCGAGAGAGAAGGGGAGAGAGAATCCCAGGTAGGCTACACACTGTCAGCCCAGAGCCCAATGTGGGGCTCCAATGCATGAACTATGAGATCATAAGCTGAGCAGAAATCAAGAGTTGGATGCTTAACTGACTGAAGCCACCCAGGTGCCCCTCTTTCTTATTTTTTATGGTGAGTTACATCTGCCTTCTTTTTTATCCACCTGATTTTGGTCCCATTATATATTTGGTTGTAATATCAGTATCTTTCTGTTACATGAAATTAAGTTATTATTAACAGGAAATGCAATTAGGGGTGCTTGGGTGGCTTAGTCAGTTAACTGTCTGCCTTCGGCTCAGGTCATGATCTCAACAGTTGGTGGGTTCAAGTCCCACATCAGGCTCTCCGCTGTCAGCACAGAGCTCCCTTGGGATCTTCTGTCTCCCTCTCTCTCTGCTCCTCTCCCACTTGTGCATGCCCTCTTTCTCTAAAAAAAGAAATAAAAAATTAAAAAATAGGAAATGCAATTAGAAGTTAATAATGTAGACGCAAAAGCCGGCAATAGATTTTCCAGGTCAGGAAGTGCTTGATTCCATGTGCATAAACCAAACTAAGAAAGAATCTGAGAATGCTTCTGTTTTTATCTTGAATAAATGTACCACAATGTGTCTACATTTGTTTTCATCATGTTTCTCTGATTCATGGCAGTTATTTTCAACAAAAGCAGAATTCTATACTAATGTGTAAGACTAGTTATTAATGGCAGAGAGAACAAAACAAATATTGCAATAAGGAGAAAACATTCTGCATTGAGGAGCAAAAATAAATAATAATGGCAATAACCATGATGACGATCAAGAATGTTAATGAGCTTTGATAAAAGATCCTGGAAAGCAAAGGTATTCTAATAATAGTACAATACTGGAACAGAGAGCAGGGAAGGTGGGTTGTACAAGAAATTACATTGGAAGTGGGAAGACCCATCTGGTATAGGAAATGAAGAAGTAAGACCATGAAACAATACATTGCATGTATTCAAGCAATAGAAATAACGAAGTCTGAGCAAAGTTTTTTTTTTGCTCTGCAGAATTATACTAACATATGTCTTCTTTTGTTATCTTTGTGTCTCTCTTATTTATCAGATGATTTGAACTCAAAGCAGGCAGAACAATGTTTTACTATGATGTCAGTGTTTTAGGAAAAAGAGCCAGATATTTGAAAAGTAAGCTTTTTGCAAATACAAAGATGCCATTGTTGCTGCTGTTGGGCTTCTAGAATAACTGTATGATTGTTAATTATGAAAATAGATAATAATAGTGGATACGATTTGTCTTTGAATAGGAGTGCTATGCCACTAAAACATGCACAATAAAGATTATAAGAACAATCAAAAAAGTTCAGGATATTATAAAGACTTACTTTTAAGCTGCAATATAGCCAATATATACTGTTAAGAACCCAGAATTATCTCATGAATGAATATTAAAATAGTCATGTTTTATTGGCTTTACTTAAAACTATCTACAAGTTGAAGAACGTTTTCAAGCTCTTTTTTAAAAAATGCTTTTGCAATTTGCTGGAGCAATGATTTCCTTTCTTTTTTTCTTTGAGCTACAGTGGCTAATCTGATTTTTGGTGTTTCAGTAATTATGCCAATTAATGTGTGCTGAGAGTAATTTCATTTGTTGAAATGGATACCAGGTGAATATGTAACTAGTAAAAGGTGTCTCTTTCAGATTTTGTGAGCAATTTTGTATTAGCCACAATATGGAAGAGTAGAACTTCAAATATAACTAATTTCTAGTTAGTGATCAAACTGATACTCATTTTATATCCTGACAGTTGAAATAAAATTCTGATTTCTTCCCACCTTCTCCTAGCAACCAAAGACACACATTGTAGGGTGATCAACTGTCTCAGTTTGCAGAAAATAGTCCGAATGTCTTCTATCTCGGGAAACCCTTTGGTTCCACGCAAGCGACATCAGTCACTTCCAATATACATCTTATTTGAAAAGAAATATGATACTCACAAAGCTCTATTTAAAATTAAATAAATTTAACATCTAGAAAAGTAATTTAAGAATAAAGTTCCATCCATATTACTACTAAAATAAAGCAACAGTATATGCTGTGTTCCTTCTAAACTTTATATAAACTATATAATTTAACAGTTCTAAGAACAATTGTTGCCACAAGATGTGTGCAATTCTATGTTATTAGTTAACAAAATCAATATCCTTATAATATGGATTTTAATAAAACCATAAAATTCCATGTTATAAATTACTTGTCTTTCATTGTAGGACATTTGTTGTTTTTTCTTTTCCCCCTATTGTAAGTGATAATGCTGTGTATATAATATTCATTTTTTAAAGAAGTAAAACACAGGGTACAATTATTGACAACATATAATGTTTAAATTATCAATATTTTCTTCTGATAACTAGTTTTTTATCAATTACTCTGCTACTTAAGCAACTATTTCATGAAAAATCCTGGTAATATGAGCCCATCCTAGAAACTGGGTGACATTATTTACTTGAATAGTTGAAACAACAGTAGGTTTATTTGTTTGTTCTAAATATCAAGACATTTTTATCATACATGAAGATGTATCCTTCTTTTAGGATCTTTCAAAAGAAAAAAGGCACTTGAAAACAATTGAGATCACTGATCATCATATTTCATAGAGAAACTCTCCTGTGTTCCAAAATTGAGAGAGGCATTGAGGAGTTCAGAAATACTACCAACTCATTTTTAAGGACAGATGCTTGATGGCAGTCCACTTTAATACTAAGTATGACCGAATCAATTGTCCCTTGAGGCTTCATTTTAGGATTTTTGAAGTAGATATATGAAAATCCAAAAATTTAAGTCTTCATCTGTACTGGGAGACACAACAGCTTGAGACTACAAAATGTCAACTCAAATACAGAAAGGATAAATCCTCAAACCAGTCAAATTTATTACTTGCTATTGCCTGCCCAGTCCCTAGCCTATAGAGCTTTCCAAGTGATAAGAAAAAGTCATAGGATGTGTATATAATAACAAAACAATGAAAGAGTAAGTTCTATAACAGTGTTATAAGAAAAGGAGATGCTGTCACCGGTGTCATTTACAACAACAAAAAACTAGAAACCACTTATAACATCATTCTAGACATGGTTCTCAGGCAAGAGAAACAAAAGCAAAAATAAACTATGGGGACCCCATCAAAATTAAAAGCTTCTGTATAGCAAAGGAAACAACGAACAAAATGAAAAGACAACCTAATGAAGGGAGAAGATATTTGCAAATGACATATCCGATTAAAGGGTTAGTAGCCAAAATATATAAAGAACTTCTATGACTCAGCTCCCAAAAAACAAATAATTCAATTTAAAAAGTGAGAAGACAGAAACAGACATTTCTTCAAAGACATACATAAGGCCAACAGAATCATGAAAAGATGTTCAACATTACTCATCATCAGGGAAATGCAAATCAAAACAATAATGAGATATTACCTCACACCTGTCAGAAAGGCTAAAATCAAAAAGTCAAGAAACAATGGGTATTGGTGAGGATGTGGAGAAAAATGAACCCTTGGGTACGGTTGATGGGAACGCAAACTGATGTAGCTACTGTGGAAGACAAAATGGAAGACAAAAAATTAAAAATAGAACAGCCCTATGATCCAATCATTACACTACTGAGTATTTACTCAAAGAATTCAAAAACACCACTTCAAAGAGATATAAGCACCCTATGTTTACTGGAGCATTATTTACAAGAACCAAATTAGGGAAGCAGCCCAGGTGTCCACTGATAGGTGAATGGAAAAAGAAGATGTATGGGGCGCCTGGGTGGCTCAGTGGGTTAAGCGTCTGACTTCGGCCCAGGTCATGATCTCACGGTTTGTGGGTTCGAGCCCTGTGTCAGGTTCTGTGCTGGCAGCTCAGAGCCTGAATCCTATTTCAGATTCTGTGTCTCCCTTTCTCCCTGTCCCTCCCCTGCTCATGCTCTGTCTCTCTCTGTCTCAAAAATAAAGTATAAAAAACAAAATAAAATTCTTTTTTTTCTTCTGTGAATCTCTTTTTTTTTTTTTTAACAAATAGTTTATTGTCAAGCTGGCTTCCACATAACACCCAGTGCTCATCCCCACAAGTGCCCTCCTCCATGCCCATCTCTCCCCTCCTGCTCCACACCCATGAGTCCTCAGTTTGTTCTCAGCATTCAAGAGTCTCTGATGGTTTGCCTCTCTCCTTTTCCCCCACCATTTTCCCCCTTCTCCTCCCCCATGGTCCTCAGTTAAGTTCCTCCTAATCCTCCTATACGTGCAAACATATGATATTTGTCTTTTTCTGTGTGACTTATTTCGCTCAGCATAACACCCTCAAGGTCCATCCATGTTGCTACACATGGCCAGATTTCATTCTTTCTCATTGCCATGTAGTATTTCACGGTATAGATAAACCACATCTTCTTGATCCATTCATCTGTTGATGGACACTTAGGCTCTTTCCATGTTGGCTGTTGTTGAGAATGCTGCTATGAACATTGGGGTAAATGTGCTCCTATGCATCAGCATTTCTATATCCCTTGGGTAAATTCCTAGCAGTGCTATTGCTGGGTCATAGGGGAGTTCTATTGTTAATTTTTTGAGGAACCTCCACACTGTTTTCCAGAGGGGCTGCACCCGTTTACATTCCCACTAACAGTGTAGGAGGGTGCCCGTTTCTCCACATCCTCACCAGCATCTAGAGTTCTCTGATTTGCTCATTTTAGCCACTCTGACCGGCGTGAGGTGGTATCTCAGTGTGGTTTTGATTTGTATTTCCCTGATGAGGAGGGATGCTGAGCATCGTTTCATGTGTCTGTTGGCCATCTGGATGTCCTCTTTGGAGAAGTGTCTGTTCATATCTTCTGCCCATTTCTTCACTGGGTTGTTTGTTTTTCGGGCGTGTAGTTTGGTGAGTTCCTTATAGATTCTGGATATTAACCCTTTATCTGATATGTCATTTGCAACTATCTTTTCCCATTCTGTCGGTTGCCTATTAGTTTTGTGGGTTGTTTTCTTTGGTGTGCAGAAGCTTTTGATCTTGATGAGGTCCCAATCGTTTATTTTTGCTCTTGATTCCCTTGCTTTTGGGGATGTGTCAAGTAAGAAGTTGCTGCAGTAGAGGTCAAGGAGGTTGTTTCCTGCTTTCTCCTCTAGGGTTTTGATGGTTTCCTGTCTCACGTTCAGATCCTTAAAATAAAATTCTTTAAAAAAAAAGATGTGGAATATTATTCAGCCATTAAAAGAATGGAATCTTGCCATTTTCAATGATGTGGATGGATCTAGAGTATATAATGCTAAGAAATAAGTCAGAGAAAAAGACAAATACCATATGATTTCCTCATATGTGTAATTTAAGAGACAAACCACCAAAGGAGAAAAAAAAAGAGACAAACCAAAAAACAGACTCTTAAATAGAGAGAACAAACAGATTGTTACCAGAGCACAAGAGGGGGAAATAGGTTATGGAGATTAAGAGTACACTTATATTGATGACCATGGTTGATGTATGGAATTTTTTTTAATGTTAATTTTGAGAGAGAGACACAGAGAGAGAGAGAGAGAGAGAGAGAACACAAGTGGGGAAAGGGTAGAGAGACATACATACACACACACACACACAATCAAAAGCAGGCTCTAAGCTCTGAGCTGTCAGTGCAGAGCCCTGATGTGGGGCTTGAACTCAGGAACTGTGAGATCCTGACCTGAGCTGAAGTCAGATTCTTAGCCGACTGAGCTATCCAGTCACCCTGGAAATGTTTTATTTGTTAAGCTATTAAGAAAGTGCATGATAGGGGCGCCTGGGTGGCTTAGTCGGTTAAGCGTCCGACTTTCGCTTAGGTCATGATCTCGTGGTTCGTGGGTTCGAGCCCCACGTTGGGCTCTGTGCTGACGGCCAGCTCAGAGCCTGGAGCCAATTTCAGAGTCTGTATCTCCCTCTCTCTCTGACCCTCCCCTGATCATGCTGTCTCTCTCTCTCTCTCCTAGAAATAAATAAAAAATATTAAAAAAAAAAAAGAAAGTGCATGATTGTTCACTATATTAATTTGAAATCTATAATAATAATTAAGATATACTGAAATTAAAATACCAAGTAAATAGAGAAGAGGCTGTTAATTCTGAATGGAAGTAGCAGTTGGAGTAGGGTTTTTGTATGAGTGAGTTGTTCTTGATGGATAAATGGGTCTTGATGGGTAAGGAGATACTCAGAGAGTTCAGATGGCCTGAGGCACCAACATGGGCAATGGCATGCAAGTCTTCTAGGCAAGGGCTTAGCTTAGGATATGTAGAAACATACTGTAAGAAAGGAGGTTGATAACATAACGGGGACCAGATCACAAAAGGCCTTGAACACAGAGATGTAAAATAACTATTATGTTCCATTTAATTACTTGTATTTTTTAAAGGTTTATTTATTTAAGCAGTCTCTACACCCACCGTAGGGTTCGAACTCATTCCCTGTGATCAAGAGTCACACTCTCATCTGACTGAGTCAGCCAGGCACCCCGATAATTGTTACGTCTTATAAATAGAATGCTGCAATTAGGTTTGGGCTATAATTTATTATATTCTTCATGCAATTCCAAAGAACTGATAGTTTTTCCAACCAGGATGTTCTCTAATCTGAATCTAGTCATTTTAGATCTTTATTGTTCTTCAAGTAAAAATGAATAAAGGGTACCTGGCGGCTCAGTTGTGAGAGCATTTGACTCTTGATCTAAGGGTCGTGAGTTCAAGACCTACACTGGGTGTGGAGCCTATTTAAAAAAATGAAAACATGGGGCGCCTGGGTGGCTCAGTGGGTTAAGTGTCCGACTCTTGATCTTGGCTCAGGTCATGATCTTCAAGCCCTGCATTGGGCTCTGCTCTCATGGTACAAGCCTGCTTGAAATTCTGTCTGTCCTTCTCTCTGCCCCTCACTTGCTTGTGTCCTCTCTCTCTCAAAATAAATAAGTAAACTTAAAAATAATGAAAACAAAAAAAAAATCACAATTCATCACAAGTCATCTACCAAAATCAGTAGAGAAATTGTTCCTCAGGGTTACGATTTGTAATAAATACAGGGATCTTCCATTAATAGATTTAAAAAGTCATTTAGGGGCTCCTGGGTGGCTCAGTAGGTTAAGCGTCCGACTCTTGACTTTGGCTCAGGTTGTGATCTCATGTTTTGTGAGTTTAAGCCCCAAGTAGGGCTTGGGGCTGACAGTGCATAGCCTGCTTGGGATTCTTTCCCTCTCCCCCTCTCTCTGCCCCTCCCCTGCTTGTGCCTGCTCTTTCTCTCTCTCAAAATAAATAAATAAACATTGAAAAAAAAGTTTTAAGTCATTTAAAGGTTTTTCTTGTGATTATCCATCAATTTCCCCATCTGACCACGTCAAGTAGAGCCATTGCCCTGAGAAGGGACAGGAAGACTGCTTAATTTTGTGAAAATCTAATGCTGATTAACATTTGTCAGAACTGAGGCACCTGGGTGGTTTAGTTGGTTGACCGTCTGACCTCAGCTCAGGTCATGATCTGGCAGCTTGTGAGTTCAAGTCCCACATCGGGGCTCGTTGCTGTCAGCCTGTCAGTGCAGAACCCACTTTAGATCCTCTGTCTCCCTCCTTCTACCCCTCCCCCACTTGCACTCTCCCAAAAATAAATAAATGTTAAAAAAGTCATCACAACTACCTTTTCATAAGATCATCATTTGGATACCAGCTGATACCTCTCATTGGCTTCACATGAGACTGGATCAAGACTCTGTTGATCGATGTGTCATTCATCACAGGCACCTGTAGAGACGTGACCAATGTTTACTATACAATGTTATGGAAAGTAGCACAACATCCAGCAAGTTGAACCACACATTTCGTCCCCTCGCCTTTCTTGAACATTAAAACTGCAGTTTGAAAAACAACTTCCAATGCAAAAAAAAAATTAAAACAGCAGGTGATAATTAGGGCAAAGTTACAACAATGTTCTCGCTGATGGGCTACCTGTCAGTGAATGCAAGCTATCGCTTCTCCCCAGGAATACTTATTACTAAAAACAACTTATGAGGGTTAAAGAAGGGATATTAAACGTGTTACTCTCCTTGTTTGCTCACTTGGAAATGGCATAACGATAGATCCATTAACCAGCGCAGCTGTATCTTGTCTCAGGGCACAAAAACATGCAAACTAACTGAAAGTTATAAATGACCAAAACATAAACCATAAGCTGCCTTGAGTTAAAAATCAATCTTCCTAATAAATTAAATTCAAATATTATATGTACATACTAGTATGTAATATCAAGAAGGATGTTTTAATAATTGCTGTGTTGGCAGAGTGCAAAGTGCAAGACTTCAGAGGGATATAAAAATTTAGTAATTTAGAAAATCCAGGGCACCTGGGTAGCTCAGTCGGTTGAGCGTCGGACTTTGGCTCAGGTCATGATCTCACAGTTCATGGGTTCGAGCCCTGCATCAGGCTCGGTGCTGACAGCTCAGAGCCTGGAGCCTGCTTCAGACTCTGTGCGCCGCCCCCCCACCCCGCCCCGCCTCTCTGCCCCGTCTCTGTTCATGCTCTGTCTCTCTCAGAAATAAATAAAACATAAAAAAAGAAAAAAGAAAATCTGGTACCAAAAATAGCTATTGCTGCATGGAATGCTCAGAGTTTAGTTCAGTCATCGAGCTAAAGCAGTATTCTCTGACTAGTCAAGGTTGAATGTTCAAGATATAGTTTGAGTATTAATCATTGATTCAAATAAAAGATTGTACAACTGGAGAGGCTCTCCTGCATTAAGTATTGTATTCCGGAACACAGATGTAAGTATTTCCCTTTGTGTTTTCCAGAACCACTTGAGTGTCTTCCCTACTAAACAAGCAACCTCTTATGGAATTATTTCTTTGGCTTTACTCTTTATCAACTACAATTTTTGGCAAAGAATTCACCTAAGCTTTTGCTGATATGAATTATGAGCTCATTCAAACTGCCCATTTCAAGTTAAAGCTTTATCTTTCATTCTGCCCAGTAAGAAATCTGATGATATGCTAAGCTTTATTTTCGTTTACTATACACTATTCCATTGTGTGTTCACACTGTGTCATATTGTGTGAGTAAACCCATCGCTTATTTACCCATTTTACTGTTGATGAGCATTTGGGTAGTGCCATTAACACATGAAAAAATAAAGTATTCTCTAAATATTCCTATGTATACAAGCAATACCTGCCACACTTATAGTGTTTTATATTTTCTGAAGTATAGTGTACATACAGAGAAATGCATATATCGTAGTACAGCTTGATGAATTTTTTACAAACTGAACACACATGTGCAATGAGCACCAGGCCCAAGAAACAGAACATGATCAACTCCTCAGAAGCCCTATCTATGCCCGCCCCCAGTCATTAGTGCCCCTTCAAAGTCAGCCACTACCCTAACCTCTCTAGCATAACTGAGTCTTGCCTCTCGTTGCACAACACATACTCTTGTGTGTCTTGCTTCTTTCACTTAGCATTATATTTATGAGCTTCATGTATGTTACCGCATTTGAAAGTAGATTGTTCATTCTCAGTGACGTGCAGTATTCCATTATGTTAATACATCACCAATTATTTATTTTACTGCCAGTGAACATTTGGGTTGTTTCCAGTTTGGGGGTTATTATAATGCTCTGAACTGTTTAATAGATATGCTTTGGTATATACAGTAGTCATAGGTATATTCTAAGGAAAGGAATTAGTGGCCCACGGAGTGTTCATATGCTCAACTGGAGTAGATATTGCCAGTTTTCCAAAGTACACAGCATTTGATTTCTTGAGGAATCATTCTCAGGAAGGCATTTCAGCAGAACCATTTAGAGAACAAGTTGTGGACTCACCCAACACCAGATTCAGCTCACCATGCAAAAGCCCTGCTACCTATGCTTAACCTTCTTAAGCCTCAGCATGCTCAACTGTAAAACAGATGTAATAAAACCTTCCTCAAAATTCATGAGAATTAAGTGAGATATTGTAACTTAGAACAGCGCCTGGACTACAGTAAGCACTTAGCTTATTATATGGTGGTTATTAATCATTACAACATTAATCATGTTGCTCTTACAACATACATGATATGGAGAATTAGAAACAGATATGTGGACAACACGATCCACAAACAATTTTAATTCTCTGATGGAAGAAAATTGAAACTCTGACCCAAAAGGCATTACCAATTCCAGTGAGCATTGCACTTGGACCCTGAAAAAAATCATTTAAACATTATCCCAAAATGCATTTGCAAATTACTCTTGCTGGAGGCAAGGTTCTTGGATGCAGTGCATTACCATCCATTTTTTTTCCCCCTACCAGACATTACTCTTTAAAGACAGGACTGCCAAGGGCTACTCTGGAAAGTCACTAATATTATACTTTTTATTATATTTGCCAATTTCACACCTTCCTCAACACAACCCCCAAAGTTGTGAAAAGTGACTGTAATTGCAAGTTAGTTCTTAGTTTTTCAATGAAAATAATCAGTATCTAAAACGTCTTCCATATTCCTAAAAACCCTGAAAAATGAACCTAGATCCTTCCTTTAAATGACAAGGAACTTCCCCTTTTTTCGTAGGTGTGAACTTGATAAACTGGATTTGAGTAGCTGCTGGGACAGCATCCTAGAGGCTAACACAAAAGTTACACTCTGTACAGAGGCACTGTTTTAGCTAAATGCTCCAGGGGCAGCAAACTCAGCTATGCTAGGTAGGCAATTTTGGAAGGTGGCACCATGTTCCTAATAAATTGAATCAGATCCTATGTATCAGTCACTTCTCCCAAGAAATTAAAGCACACCATCTACTTGAAAAAGATTATTTTTTTGAGAAGGTCTTTTAGCTAGACCGTGAAGGAAACTTTTTGAACATCTAATTGAAACTCTTTGATTTACAGATGAGAAAACTAGTCACTTAAGAGTCTTGCCTAAGGTCAAAACGGTCTGTTCCTTGCGCAGGCAGAAAGCTCAAGTCTTATCCACAGTTACCTGGTTGCCCTTCTCTATTCTTGCAACTTGTTTCCCACCATCTGCCCACCTGTCCAGTGGCCCCCCTCCCCCCATTTCATAAAGACCCAGAAAAGGGGACGACGATGGAGTGTAACCTAAGGGAATGACCATTAAATTGTTACATGAGTGAGGCTTGCCTGCAACAACGTAAGGTCCAGGGAGGACCTTCTGTGTTTTGTGCACCAGTGTATTTCCAGCGTGTAAAACTGTGCCTGGTACATAGCAGGCCCTGATAATTGTAAAATGAAATGAATGAATGAATCAAGCAACCTTGGGTATGTCAGATTGTCATGCCCTTTTCTTTACCACCTCTTTCCAGAAGTACTAATAAAACTACTGGAAAGATTTAGTAAAGAGGAGGAAAGATGTACAAAGCATCTAGTACCGTGACCGATCCATTGTGAGCAATTTAACAGTGTCAGCTCATTTCCTTTTCTTCTTCCCCAAGTGTAAGCTACTGGAGGTTAAGGGGTGATGTGCCACAGTACTTATGTGCCAGACAACAAAGTGAAGTGGGCAGCCAACAGGCTGGTGAGAAAGAGCTGTTGGCGTCTTTCTGATCCGTACAGATCAATGACAGTGCCCCGAAAAACGCACAGCTATTTTACCTAGAGAGGCTGGTCTCTTTTGTTGATCGATTCTGGGCTGCAATCAACTCTCTAATACAACTTTTTATAAGCATCAGCTACATTGCAGCGGCAGGAGGGGCAGCGATAGGAAAAGCAGAGAAACCCCCTCCGCCTCCCAATAAAGGAAGTCGACCATGGTAGGGGCTGCATTTTCCAGGTCCAACGGGGACTCCGGCTGGGGCAGCCCCGTACCCTCCAACCCCGCCCCTCCCCAGCGGCGGCTGCCGAGGTTCAAGTTCGGCCCCGGGCGCACGGCCCTGAGCTTCCCGCTCCGAAGCCGCCTGCGCGTCCCAAGAGCCCCCACATGAAGGCGAGGGGGGGCTCAGAGGTCACACGGGCGCGGGGTCACTCGGTCACGCGTTGTGCTACCACGTGGGAGAAAAGTTTCCAACTTCGGCCGTAGGGCCTCTCGGTGTCCCCCAGCGGGGCGGAGGCCCACACTTTGGCACCCGCTCCCTTTTCGGTCGCCTGCAGTCGCGCCCCCCTCCCAGGAAGCCCCCCCACCCCACCCCTTGCGTCCCTTCTCAAAAATCCCTCCTTCCCTCGCTACGCAGGTCGCGCAGGAAAAATACTCAGGGAGCCTCCTAAGCAGGCTGCCAGGGAGCCTCCGGCGGGCCTGGGGTAGGGGGTCGAGGGACAAGTGTCCCAAAGAGGCTACGGGGGGCGCGGACCTGGGCACGCGGTGTAGACAGCGGACAGTGTCCCGCACGCGTTCCCGGTGCAGTCGGCAGGATCACCTCTCGGCTTGCACACCCTCGCGCGCCAACTCCGCCGGGCCGCAGCCGACCCCACGCGGCGGCCCACTCCACGCCCCCGCCTCGCTCCCCACTCCCGGCTCCCCTCCGCCCCCAGTGCGCAGGCCCGGCCGCCCCAGCGCGCATGCCCTGGGCTCGCGAGCGCGGCCAGCCCCCAGCCTTTTGCTTTCTACACACTCTACAACTGGGGAGGGGGCGGGGGCGGAGGGAGCCCAGCGGGCCACGTGATCCAGCGGGCCGGGGCCGCGGGGGCGGGAGCGCGCGCCGAGCGAGCGCGGGGAGGGTGGGGGCGCGGGCGCGCGCGCGTGCGGGCGGGCGCGGGGCTGGGCTGAGGCGGGCGGCGGCGGCGACGGTGGGCCGGCCGCGGAGGGGGAGGAGCGGGAGCTGAGCGAGGCGGGCGGGCGGAGGATGGGGCCGTGCCCGGGCTCCCGCTGCAGCCGCCCGGGGACACGCCGTGCACCCTCCGGCTCGGGGCTCTCGCGGCGGCGGCGGCGGCAGCGTTAGCGGCGGCGGCGAGAGCGGCGTTCCCGGCGCTTCCTGGCCGCGCTTCTCCCTCGGGCTGGGCGAAGCGAAGAGGCAGCGGCGGCGGCAGCGGCGGCACATCGGTGTCTCTCCCGCTGGAGATTTCTTTCTGCTTTCCTCGTCGACTGACTCTCCCCCCTCCCTTTTTTGAGGAAGGGTGACCTCTTCTCTGGGACTGGAAAACATTTTTTTTTGAGGGGTGGGGGGGTGGGTGGCAGCGTCAGGGTCTGCTTCTTCTCTTCTTTCATCTCCTCTCCTCCCCCCTTCAGGACCGAAAAGCGAGCCCCACAACTGCTCCAGCATCTTCCTTCCCTTCCTCCACCTCCCTTCTCCTCCACCTCGTCCAGTTTCGCCCTCTCCCCTCCCAATTATTTCATTATTATGCTTCCCTCTCTGGGGGGTCTCGTCCGTCTCAGGTCGCTCGGAAGCCGTGGCCTCCCCTGGATGCATTTCTTAAAAATTTTGGAGCCTGGGAGTGAGTTTTCTCTGAGGCGTGTGTGAGAGGCGGCGGGGGTGTTTTCCTGCGCGAGGGGCGGGTGAAGTTCATTGCCCCCACTTTCCCGCGACCTTTTCGGACCCGGTTTCGAATCGGGGGTGCCGGCGTTTTCGGGGGCGGGGGGCGCGGCGGAGAATGGCCGCGGGGAGGGCTCCCCGGAGCCTCCCAGTCTCTTGATCAAAGCATTCCGCTATTCTGATTTATTGCCTGCTTGGTGAGTTATTTTTTTTTTTTTTTTTTTTTGCCTCTAAAGGAGACCTGTGTGTTCAGCCATTACTTTGCTCGGCGCTGCTCACAGGAATCTCCGACCCGCGGTGCTGTGGGGAGCCCCGCACTTGGGCTCCTCGCCTCTCGCCCTCGCTCCCGTCCCTCCTCCCTCTCTCCGCCCCTTCCCCCTTCTTTCTCCTCTCTTTCTTCCCCTCTCTCCCTTCTTTCGGCCGCCGTCTCCCCCGCGCCCTCCTCGGGGCGGAGGGAAGCCGAGGAGGGGGAGGGAGGGGTTGGTGTCAATTTTTTTGTGTGGCCGCGGCCGGAGCCTGTGGCGGGCGGGCGGCGAGCGGGGAGACCCCGGCGCGGCAGAGCCATGGATGGCCCGACGCGGGGCCATGGACTCCGCAAAAAGCGGCGGTCGCGGTCGCAGCGAGACCGGGAGAGGCGCTCCCGGGGCGGGCTGGGGGCCGGCGCGGCCGGCGGCGGCGGGGCCGGCCGGACCCGGGCGCCCTCGCTCGCCTCGTCGTCGGGCTCCGACAAGGAAGACAATGGGAAGCCCCCGTCCTCCGCCCCGTCCCGGCCCAGACCCCCGCGGAGGAAGCGGAGAGAGTCCACCTCGGCCGAAGAGGACATCATTGATGGATTTGCCATGACCAGCTTTGTCACTTTTGAAGCGCTGGAGGTAAGGGGGACCCCCTCCCCCCGGTTTCCCTTTATGCACGACCCCACTCGGCTGCGCCCTGCTCCGCTGCCTCCCCCGCCGCGCTCCGGTCTGTCTGTCTGTCTAGGCTGAGGTCTTATTGTTGGGGGGGGGAGAAAGCTGGGGGGCGCGGGCAGACAGGCAGCGGGAGGGAATCGCAAAGCCGTGCCTGGTCTCCTCGTTTGCTCGTTCTCGCTCGCCTTTCCCCTGCGCCCCCTCCCTGCACCCCCTCCTCAGCAGATGGGCAGGGAGAAAGGGGTTCAGGCATCACAACAATGCGCCCCCCTCCACGGATAGCTGTGCCCCTACTCCTTCCTCCTCGCCCTCCCCAATCATGGCTTCTTGGCTGGTGGAAGTCTCTTTGCTGGGTTTGGGGCGCCTGTGGACGGTTCTCTGTGTGCTTTCTACAGAACCATATGTCCGTGTGTATGTGTATGTGTGTGTCTGTATAGTATATACCTTTCCTGGTCCTGGGTGTCCTCGGGACTGGAGACTGATGGGGTTTTGTGATCTCTTTGCCCCCCCCCCCCGCCTTTTTTTTTTTTTTTCGGTGAAGCTGGAGAAGGGGGCGTTTTCTCTTGGTTGGGAGAAAAGGTGGGAGGAGGGGAGAGAAGAGAGGAAAGGATGGAATATCTCTGTATTCTGCGTGGGGCTCTATTGCAGAAAGGGTTAATTATATCTATACACATACATATGCACGTGTGTGTGTGTGTGTGTGTGTGTGTGTGTACACGAGCAGTTTGGTAAAGGACATAAAAAGGTACACCAGGGAGGACTGGTGGGAGGAAAGAATAAAATCCTAGCTGGTATCTGAAGGGCTTGTCACCCAATTGTCCCTCTCCCTTTCCTTTTGTGTGTGTGTGTGTGTGTGTGTGTGTGTGTGTGTGTTTTCTTTTTCTTTCTGATTGGCTTTGTGTGCATGTGTATGTCTTTCTTTATTCCTTGGGCACCTGCAGTGTTGATTTCCAAATGCACATTTTCCTGCCAGCTACTGGCTCCTGGGGGGTGGGAGGGGGCGGATAGAGGGAGACTGTCCAGGGGCCTGGGGGAAACTGTCTTTACCTGCAGAGATCAGATTCGGTGCTAACATCAGTCATTGGCTTCTACAGATGTCACCCCCCTTTCCTCCCCCCAGCCTCCCTGTCCCCACCCCCAACACACCACACACACAGAAGGCGTTGAGATTCTGCAGAGTTGGTCCCGCTTTCTTAAGCACAAAACCCAGATAGGAGTTGGTTTCTAGTATTTCATGCACCTGATGTGATGGTGTGGTGTTCCTGAAGGAAACTTTTCCCTTTCCTTTCGGTTTTTTTGCTGTTATTATGGTATTGTTCGAGACGATCAGATGCAAGCTTTGTTAATGACAGTTTAAATCTCACAGGCAGTAACCGTACAGGTTTAGATTGCTGGCTCTGCATGTGTGCTTGGGTGTCAGGTTTTAAATATTTTTAAAAAGGAAGCCTTCCTGTCAGGGTTGTTCTTTTCTGTTTGAACTGCTTTTTGGTTGTGCCGCTGGTGGTGATGGTGGTGGATGGCGGCCAGTGGTTGGGGATTGGTGGTGATGGTATTGGTGGCCATAGGTTTTGATGTTAGTGATTGAATCAGTTACCCTTTGGTTCCAGAACTGGTGATTTATTGGCTAAAATGGATCTTACACAATTATTTTGAGTGTTGAGGCTCACCACTTATTAGGATAATTCTAACTGCGGCTTTAACTTTGCCAAGGTGGGAGGGTACTGTACAGTGTGACTCTTCTCTCTGTCTCTCTCTCTCTCTCTCTGTCTCATGCTTTGAAATAGATATTAAAATGGCAACATGTGTCCTAATATAAAATGCTGCCTAGAATTTGGTTCACCATTGCTCTCTCTGGTAGGGTTAGGACATTATTTGTAAGAGCTGGTTACAAGTGGTTCTGCTTTCTGCATGGTACTCCTGGGTTGCATTGTGGCCCCTCACCGTAAGTAAGCAAGAGGGGCCTGCATTTTCCCATGAACATTTTTGAAGGCCAAGTAGAGGTAGCTATAACTTAAGAAGTTGTTTTTAATTTTAATAAGTAGATATTTGACTGGGCTTGGGAAATATAATCCACTTGACTTTTGAGAGAAAATGTGCCCATTCTAGTTTCTTTTGGGTTTAAAAAAACTTAGGTTTTAGAAAAGATCAAGTTCAAAGTGTAGCATTAATACCATTCCTTTCCTTACTGTGATTATTTTTTCTGCTACTTTTCTAGATCAAAACCCAGGTTATTTTGGTTAGCTGAATGCTGTGCTACCGTCCTATCTAAATATCACTTACATATCTGTGTGTAGGTCTAAAAGGCCTGACTTTTTAAAAAGCTTCCTTAAAACTTTACAGAAAGATTTAAACATATACAAAAGTAGAGAGAATAGTATAATAAACGCCAATATACCCAGTGCCCAGGTTCAGTAATTACCAACTCATGTCTCATCTTATTTCACCTGTATCCCATCTACACCCCCTTCCCAGATGGAATGTGAGAAATAAAGTAAATATTCCTGAATGTATGTAATGGTGATGACTCAAAAACAAACAAACAAAAAAACCAAACCAACCCCCCCCCAAAACCAAACCCCACCAGAAACTCTTAAGTATCATTGTCACACCTAAGTAAATTAACTACAGTTCGCTAATATTCTCCACTATCCTTAGTGTTCACACTTAAGAGGCCTAGCTTTTGCAGCAAAGATGTAAATAAACTTGTCATATTAAAAGCACACAGTGGGGAATAAAAACCATCATATACGTCTGGTTCTGTGGGAAAAGGTAGATCTGTTTGCGACTTATTACATTTGTGTCCCTGTTGGGTGGTCAGACATGTGTGTAGTGATCACTGAAATCTCTGGTGTCCTGCTGTTCTCAGTTTACAAGATTTACACTGAACTATCACCAAGAAATGTGAAGATTTATTAGGAAATCGGCAACTAAACTATGAACTTGGACAGAAATATGTGTTAATGGAGTCCTTGGAAATGTTAGGAATTATTATAGATGCCAAGAGTCACCGTAAGTACATAATACGTTTTTGTGCCTTGTGTTTAGAAGTGAAATCGATTGTCACCATGTATCGTCAAGGCTGCTGCTAGTGTGATGTGATAAGAAACCAGAAATCTTGGCGTGCACAGCTAGGCTTGTAGCTTACGCTGGGTTAGAACAGTTAGCTGGCACACTGTGCAGTTGCATACTTAGGGTGTTAATGGACTCATTATTTGACTCTGTGATTTTGTCCTGAGTAGCCTGACTTCCCTTTCAAAAAAGAGGCTTCTAAGTCATGATGAAGGGTGCTGATATAAACTGCTCAAGTTCAGCTATGGTTTTACTGTTACTGGATTAAAAGCAAGAAACTTGCCTAATGAGAACCTGCATTTTTATGTTGATTATTTTTCATTATTCTTTGATTTTTTTTAAGATGATGAAAGCTTCTGTAGTTTGAGAAGTCCCACACTTTATAGTCAGTGAAACCGGCTGAGGTACTTTCATATTCTGCAGGGACACTTGTCTGGAGTAATTGTGCCCTGAAGTTCAAGTATATGATTGTGAAGAGTCTTATGATAGAAGATAAGAGGGTAGGCGAGGAGGCTAAAGTTGAATGTGGTGTTCTTTTCATTATGCATTTAAGAAGCAGAATTACCATTTCGATATCGTATTGTTTATTTGAGTATTCTTTGAATGATAGGTGGTGAGTGAACATCCCAGATATCATGCCTCATTTTTTTAAAAAATGCCTTTCAGCCAACAAAGTAGAAATGGCAATTGGGGTCCTAGTACTTACTGTCTGTACGCTGATGTGCCAGATAATATTGCCTTTCTGTTCTTATTAGGGTTTCTTTCTGTGTAGTCTTGATTAGGAAGCCATATGAACACCATGGCTGAAAATTTCACTTTGCAAATCCATCATTTCCCCCCTCTGTTATGCACTGGGTTTTAAGGGCAGCCTCTATATATACAACTGACCAAGGATGAAGTTGGTGGGGTTAGTAGACAGGAAGCCAGTTGGAGTTTTGCAGGCTTGTGAAAATGAAGGAAGACATACTTCTGGTGGTTAGAGGATCAAACCAAGACTTTCATGTGGTCTTTATTACCTAGTACTTTCAGGGCTTACCTAAACAGTGGTAGCATAAGTAGGCTATACAGAATTTGATGTGCTTACAACATGCCATGTAGTAGGCTCTTATAATTTACTATGGTCGAATCTCACTTATTCAGTTGTTTGAAACACATTAATCATGCTTCTTGTATCAGTCAGCAAATATTTATGGAGTGCCTAGAAAGAGTGCAAGGAAACTTAAAATATGTGTAGCACCTTGAAGGAGTTTAGTTGACAAATTAAGTCTAGCACCTATAAAATTTTGAAACAAGTGCTCACATATCTAATACCAACTAAGTGCAAGGAAGCATTCAGGGTAGGAGTAGGGAGAGAGGCTGAAGTGTTTGAGAAAGCTCTTGGAGAAGGGGCCTGGAAGTTTGAAGTGATTTGGATAGATAGGGAAATGGGGGATGGAGAGAGCCTTCCAAGAAGAGGGAATGGTGAAGAAGCACAGAAACCAGAGGATTGAGAAGGTGCTCTTTGATTAGGGCTCGGGGGTAAGGAAGGACTGGTAGCAATGAGTTACAACATTGTGTAAGTGGACACCTGTGCAGACCCGTGTTTCTAGGCTTGGCCCTCCTACCTCGTTGAGTGACTTCGGGAAGTTACTCTCTAAAAGCATAATTTTCTTCATCCCTTAGTTGAGAGGTTTAGACTAATTTTAGAGCAAATGTACCCAAGCTGGAAGGGAGCCTAGCTCTGCTGGATGTTCATAAGTGGTGTTCCAGGTCAAAAAAATGTTATCTACCCTCAAGTAGTTTTGGAACCCGGTGGGCAAGACAAAATTAAACAGGCTTGTTCTGCCAGAATTAAAAGTCTTTTTATTATATAAATGTGAATTTTGAATATCAGAGAAGGCAATGTGATGTGCCTTATT